GAACATATTACATACAGACACATGTGCATGTGTATATATATATATACACACACGTTAACATGTGTATATACCTGTAGACATACATACATACATACATACATACATACATACATACATACATACACACATACATGCATACATACCTACATACATACAATATATACACAACTTATATACATATATACAAATATATATATATATATTGTTTCGCAATGCTTCATGACATTTCTTTATAATCACTTAATTAGAATACGATTTGGGGGGTACGTGATCGTATAACTATAATAACAAGACGATGCAGCTGTGAAGCTATCAGGACTCCTTGGACAAACAATTGCATTTATCAGGCCCCATATTATACGATTCAATTCCAAGAACGGCATAAAGACGCCAACGAAGTTTCCGACATACTGGCTGACTCTGCTATACTCTGGTTAGGGGGTGAGAGGAGGGTTCAGGCTTTGGGGTCTCGGTTTTTCTTGGTAGGCACAGGAGATCACTTAGAGAGATGCTGACACGGCATGTGGGTTTTGGGGTGTACGCCTACACAACTCTCCTTATTCGGGTTCCACATTAGGATTATACAAATCCTAAGAATGTCAAGTAAAAAGTTAGGTTATGTGGCGTCCAGGTAGAGCTGCATTCTTCGGGTTAAGAGCTTCGGCCAAATTGTTTAAGCGCGGCTTCGGTATAGTTTGGGGCTTGGGGTGAAGTGTAAAGAGCAAGGCTGTATTCATTGCTCGAAGTTGCACAACACTGACAATCAAACAACAAATACTAATGAACAGGTCGTATTGCAGTTGCAGCCGGTTTGGGTCATAACTAGTTTGGATGGAAGAGCGGTGCTGTAGACTTTTATGGTTAGCTCTTCAGCCGCTTGACATTTTCAAGGGTTTAGGCTTTCTCCCTTCCGGTTGAAAATGTGGAGCAGCCGCAACCAGTGCGCGCCCAATGTCGCGTGCATTGATTTGCGTTCAGGCCCTATTGCTCAATTGTTGCTACCAGCGGGCGACGAACATGTCGAACAAACGGTGGAAGCGAAAGACCTGCATGAGACAAGCAAAAGTATCAAACTAAACCAGCATGATGTCTGCTGGGAAAACCAAACGCAAGCCCAAATCGGTAAAACAAGTTTGCGCACGAGGGACGAGGGATCCCGCATCAACAATCATAAAGAGCCACTGCAACATCCGCAGTATGAGCAAAGCTCAACATGCAAAGTGAGCTGCATGTCTCGTGAACCCTGAATCCGAAACCATAATCTAAACTTTATCAACATCCCTCCGATTTCAGGACGTAGCGTTGGTGCTGTTCACATACTTTTTGACCTCCCTGCAGTCACTTCCCGCGATTTCTGCTTGGCAGAAAGTGGAGTGGCAGCCAAGCTGCCTAGGCCTATAGGCACAGATCCTCCACCTTAAAGCCAAATCCTCAAGCCCTACACTAGGGATGGGGGAGGTTCGTTTTGCAGGTCTGTGTTTGTGTGACGAAGAAACTCGGTTCAATCAAACAACCATAATGAACTAGTTACTATTTGCTGCATGCATGGCCTACGCAACTATCTCATGCGTACACTGTGCACACCACCAGTTCTGAACCTTCAATCCAAAGTCCACAGAAGATCTCTGTTATAGTCCGCTCTTCTGCCTAGACGTGTAAACCCTAAATCTTAAACCCCTAAGCCCTGAACCCTATACAATTCCTGAGCTGCATTTTGGACTTCCAGGTGGGATACATCAGCCAAATGCCAGTCTCCTGCTTCCGCTGCCTTAGGGGGCCCTGTTTGGAGGCATATACCCCTGTATTGTAGGGTTTTGGGTTTTGGGCTTTACTATACGGGCTTGGTATAGAGTTCTTAATGTTCAGAATAGGGTTTGGGGGTATAGCGTAAATGTTGGGACATGGGAGACCTTAAGCCTTGCTGCAAGGGGTTCCTTGAAAAACTATTATAAAGGCTCCACTAAGAGTGTGCGATGATCAGGGCGAGAGCCAGCAACGACGATTGTCGGGTTTTGGGGTTTAGGATTCTGATTCAGGGTTCAGGGTTAAGGACCACACGGTTGAAGCCGGCCGGTGAGCTTAGCATGACATCTTATAGACAATCTCAAGCAGTTGGCCCCATCTGCACAACAGAAGTCAAGCAGCTGTGCTGGGCTACTACCTTTGCAAGACCCGAAGGGTCCATGCACCCACAGAGTATATACTTTGGCCTTAAACTAGTCCCTGCTACGGTACTTTATGGCCAATGTATATATTACGTGGGTACATGGGCCCGTAGGGTGGAGACAGTCAACATGCCAACACGCCGAGCTTTTCGCATATGTGTGTAATGTTCAAATTATTTCAAAGTTGTTTGAGCACAGCTCTCCATCAACCCTAAACCATAAAGCCCTGAACCATAAAACCTCAACCAAAACCCCCTGAACCCGAAACCCCAAACCCCTAAACTAAACCATAACGCCCAAAGATGACTCTAAACCCATTTCCCTTCTAACCCCAAAAGCCAAACTCAGATAATGTCATTAAGCGGCAGGAGTACAACCCCATTGTATTCAGGCACCCTAAGTTTCAGATCCCTGGCACAATCATTATCAGGGAGGGAGTTATTGGTTTAATCATTAATGAGGTCCACATTGAACCGCCTTCACATCTCTTGTACCCCTGTTAAATCCTTCGCACAAGCATTCAACCCGCATGCACACCTGTGTCAAAACATCTACTTGCCTGGACCGCCCTTGCTAGCTTGTCGCGCGTGAGGCCTCGCCCGGATAAAAGCCGAGACGATCTGACATCATTCAAAAATCAATTAGAGTTGCTATTGAAAACCTCCTCTGGGGCTGCCGAAATCGCAACTATGAAACGGGTGAAGGCGCCTGCCTGACCCAAACTGCCACCCCCGGCCCAGATTGTTGGTATCTTGTGAAATCTCCGAAGGTCATGTGGGTCGTCTTACTCCAAGAAAGCCATAACAAAGATCCCCTAGGAATGGCAATGGCAAGCATTTGGGCGTCCCAGAGAGCCCAATACCCCTTAATTAAGGAATATATACCGTAAATCATACTACTAAGCCCTTATACTTTAAGGTATATTCCTAATTAAAGAATATATACCGTAAATCATAATTCTAAGCCCTTATACTTTAAGGTCTATTCCCCAATTAAGGGGTTTTGGGCTCTCTGGGTTCTACATTATCAGGTCTTGCGGTTTGGGGCTGTGGGAGGTCGGACCTGGGGCTCCAACTTAGTGCTTTCCTGGACCCGAAGAAAGACATAGGTGCTCCTGAGTATCCTTAGGTTTAGGGTTTAGGGTTACGCTAAGGGTCCAAAGGACCTAATCATCATGTACTTGGGTTGGGGATAGTAGTTTTTGTAGGTTAGTAGTCAGAAGAGTATGTGATGATTATGTACTTGGACCCTCAGGGTTATAGGTTGTGTAGGGTTACGGAAGGGCTTGAGTCTTTTGGGGTCTAGACATCTGTTCTCAGCTGGTGGGGCCCTTACAGAGAGATCCCAACTGCAGCATAAATACTCCCAGACTGCTCCGAGAACTCACCCTAAACCCCTAGCCTTAAAAGTCTAAACTTGGGAATGGCCCTAAACCCTAAAACCCTAAACCCCTAAATCCTTAAACCCGGACCCTAAACCCCTAAACCCCAACCCCTAAACCCTAAACCCAAACCCCCAAACCCCCAAACCCCTAAACCCTATGAAGGGAATGGCCGTGGGGGCAATGGTGCAAGCAGGAAAAAGCGCGCATCCTCTCCGTCCCACAAACCCAGACCTGAACCTTCAACTTACGATTTAGGGTTTAAGGTTTAGGGGTTTAGGGTTTTTGGGGGGTTTATGGGTTATGGGTTTAAGAGTTTATGTTTAGGGGGTCGGGGTTTAGGGTTTATATGGGTTTAGGGTTTGGGAGAAAAAGTTTTAAGCTTACCTTAACCTACCAAAACCTGCTTGCTTGCAGGGCCGCTATGAAGTGGTATATTCGGCCTTATGCAACAGAAAACACAGGTGCTGGTGGTTTAAGGTCGGGTTGAGGGCTTAGGACTTAGGGTTTGGGGGCTAGCTGCAGCTCCTCCTGTGTAGGTTTAGTTTAATTGTTGTTCAACGGTGCAGGGTTTAACGTTTAATCTTGAGGGATTCAGGGTTTCAGCATTCAGGCTCTTAGACTTGATGGTCAAATTATTCCGGGGTTTTCGGGTCTAGTCTGGTAGCGCATAGTGTGCAGATTTTCGTCTCAAGTCGACAAGCTTGACGATCAAACTCGATCCAAAAACGCATAGTTCCTATTCAGTGCTTATACATCATGAGCGCGGCAACAGTCGGGTCTTCCTAAGCATAGAGCAGATTCCCGCAAAGCTCCAACTCGGCAACCAGTGGATTGACTAACAGCTTGGCTTTTAGGGTTTAGGGGCTCGGGGTTAAGGAGTTTACGAATTTGGGGCGTAGGTTTTAAGGTTTAGAATCTATGGAACGACCTCAGCCAAAGGACGGAGAACGGAGCACAGCAAAGCTGTCGCATCCGAAGCCTTTGGTAGGCCACTTGAGAAATGGTTTTAAACTGCCCAGCATCATGCCATAAAACGGGACGCTGTTGCGGCCATCGCAGGCAGAAGTTGCGTGCTGCCACAAATCGAATTCTATTATCGACCAAACGAAAGGCGCAACGTTTGTCCCTTGCAACACTGAACTCAACACGCTACTTAGCTACATAATTGATACCAACTTTAGTGCAGAGATTCTTCATGGATCCATACTAGGGCATTCTCAAGAGGGCTTATAGGGCCCGGGAAGGGTTAGGGGTGCGATCGTAGCACTCTGGAGCCTGGAAATCCCTGGGCCTTTCAAAGGTAAAGCACAACCCGTTCCATGGCTTTTGACTCACACACGCGTGATCCCTCCACTCGAGAGGTAAGTTACGGCGTTCACGTTCATGAACATGGCCCTGCGAGCTTTACACGGAGCGTGATTTCAGCACTCCTCTATTTTTCATGGGCCTGTTCATTGTCCTTTAGACACACGCCAGGGATCGTTGGCTTGTCCCGGCAAGGAGATGTCCTCTGGGCTACGGCTTTCCACCAGAGTCACGATGGGCGAAGACATCCATTCGCGAAACTGATCTCGCAAAGCACGATTCCGCTTTGTCATAGCATCAGCCATCTGCATCTCCGTCGGGACCCAGCGGAGGTTGCGGCACTGCTGTCGTAATGCGGCAATACTGATTTCCACCCTCTTCTCCTGGAAGCTTGTGGTGAGGCGGTGTACCGCGTCCCAAAGACTTCTGGCGTCCGTAACAGGCACAACCTCAATCTGGGGAGCTCGCATAGTTGCCTGGTGGCTCGCATCGTGCATCTCAGAGAGCATGGCCGCCAGGAAGTTGCCGTAGTCCTCAGCCTTGTCCAGGGAGGCAGCTTCAGCTGCCAAAGTGCTTCTCAGCACTCTTTGATGTCTGTAGCTGCGCCACTCCAGCAGTGAGGCCTCTCGTGGGCCTTCCAACGCTTGCTTCGAGGTTGCAACCACAACTAGGCCGCCCTGACTTTTGCCATTCGGAGCGTTGCCAAACCCTGAGTCGCCGTAGGCCACCAGGAGCATGTCGTTCCAGGGCACGGAGACTATCTTGTAGTAGGCGTCGTTCGTGGCCTTCACATAGCGCAGAACCGCGTTGATTTCCAGCAAGTCCGCCACAGTAAGTTCAGGCGGGGGTCGTTGTAGGAGCGACACATCTGAGGATATGTCGCCGCGGGTCGTGCTGGCAAGCCACTGCAGACTTCCGATTCCCGATCGGAACTCGGTGATCAGCTCCGGGTGGTTCGACAGCAGCTCCGTGGGGTCCAGCTTGGTTTTCGTCACTGGGACCTCGGAAACGTAACTTGCCTGGTCCACCGTAATGGAGTGGTCCGGGTGTTGCCGGATCCTCCTGCCCACGAAGACAAAGTCGCGGCTTTCCCAGGCCTTGCTCCAGGTGAACGACTCATGCACGGCGTCCAGGTGATGCTTGAAGCCGTTCAGGCATGCAAGGATGAGGTCGTCGACGTGGAGGCCCAGCACGGCTACCACGGTGTCGGTGCCCTTGATCCTCTCGACAAACAAGAAGAGGCAGGGGTCCAAGGTGTGAGTAATCCACCCCAGCTCAGTCAGGACCTTGCGGACGTGAATGTACCATCTCCTCGGCGCGTTTGCTTGTCCGTAGACCGGTGCGCTGAGTTTGTAGAGCAGGTCCGGCTGCAACCATTCGGGGATGGCCTGCTTGCTGACCGGATCATCCGGAGGTCTCATAAAGATGCTGGTAGGACGTTCATCATCTGGAGCCCCTTGCAAAAAGGCACTTTGGCAATCTCCGTTGAGCAGGTCGACTTGGTTCGTGCTTGACCATTGCAACACACACATCAGTCCTGCTCGACTCAAAACTGGCGAATCTCTGGAAAGGAGCGGTAAGTGTGGATCCTTAAATCCGGCCACGACTATCCGTGCCTTAGGTTTAAACGATCCCTCCCCTTTTGGCTTCCATCTGTAGCATACCCTGGAGCGGAGAATCAGGGCAGGATCGACCTTCGACACATCGAGGTGTATCGGACGACAGGAGGACCATTTTTGCCATTCCGCCCATTCGTCCACCAGGGCTTGGGCGAACTTGGGGATCTCCTCCGCACTCATCGCCTGCCAGGGGAGCTCCTTCTTGAGCGCCTGCTTTTGTACCCGGGACATGGGTTCTTTCGTGCCATCAGCACCTTCATCTCCCGAGCTCTCCATCACGGCTGCCTCGCCTTCTCCAGGGGTCTGCCAAGCCCGCAGAGGATAGGCCTCATGCACTGGCTCGTCCTCATCTTCGGTGCCATCATCGTGCATCTCTGCGAAGTAGACATCCATCTTGGCCTTGGACAGGAAGCCAAGGTCGCGTAGACGCCGTCGTAGCTCCGGATCGGCATGCACTATGCTCCGGCTGGCATAGGCTGTGATGGAGTAGCGGTCGCCCTTGAACTGCTGGGTCTCGTGGCGGAGTTCCGGGTCAAAGCACATGGTCCGGTCCTTGGCGTCGATGAGGAAGCCATACACGCGGTTGCCATTCAGGACCTTCCATGTAGCATCCGCAGGGGGATTCTTTTGGTCTCGGCATTCCACCCAGAGTTCACCGCCGGTGTAGCGACCCAGCTGGTGTATCCAGTTCACACTGCCTTTGAGGTTGTGACAGTCCCGGTGCGCCGCAGCTTTCGTGTTGCGGGAGATGTAGAGCGAGGTCACCGAGCCGTCCATGCCGTGAAAACGCAGGTACTTAAGGAGGTAGCGGGACAGCTGCTTGTGCGTGTTGCTGCAGCGGGTCACGCCACTGAAGCCGCCATGAGAGAAGAGGCCCAAAGCCAAGGCACCTGATCGGCCCTTGTCTTCCAGACATCCACGCTTGACGCTCATGAGGTTGGTGGCGTCGAGCAGCTGGTGACACGCCTCAGGTCGAAAATCCTTTGCTCGCAGTAGTCGACGGGCCCATACCTCCGAGAGAAAACGCTTGGGGCGCGGGGCGTTCTCATCATGGTCGCCGAACTTGTGGGCAGCGCTCAAATAGCTGGTCTGGCAAAAGAAGGGTTGAAGTTCGCTCGGGCTGCCATCCCATCCGTCTTGCCAGACACGTTCGCGGCCGTGACGATGTAACACATCCAAACGCTGAAGGCCGCGTGTACTCTCGTCTCGAGTGGGGTTCTTGCTTGCCAAATTGGCGGTGTAGTCGTTGTTGTTGTCGACGGGCGCAAATGTAGCGGAATTGGGCTCATCAGAAAAGAACTTGTTCAAAGCTTCCCGCTCCATCACCTCATCGAACCAACTCTCAACCAAAAAGGGTGAATTCACTGTCCTGGTGCTTGAGCAGCGGGAACATACTTGCAAACCCCCTTCCATGACTCGATGTTGTTCACCGCAGTCCTGGCAGAAGGTCAAGAGGGAACTTGCGTAGAGCGCGTCCTCAGGGTTTCCGGGAGTGTCGCCCGGCTGCACTCTAGCAGCAGTAGCTCCTTCAGATTCCAAAGATGTCTCCGAAGGCCTCTTCACTCCACGGGACACAGAACCAGGGTACGTCTCTTCCATCACACGCTCCAGGTCTCTCTGCAAACTTGACGTAGCTCCGGACACTGATGACACACGACGAGAGACCTCACTCGGCATAGACACTTGTCTAGAAGGACCAGATGCGTCACCTGCTGCAGATCCTGATAACTGATCTGTAACGGACCCCAGCTGTTCTGGAAGTGGTGTACGCTGTTCTGGAAGTGGTGTACGCTGTTCTGGAAGTGGTGTACGCTGTTCTGGAAGTGGTGCACGCTGTTCTGGAAGTGGTGCACGCTGTTCTGGAAGTGGTGTAGGCTGTTCTGGAACCTGTGGTGTAGGCTGTTCTGGAAGCTGGCCGCGCGGTTCCGGAGGTTGTAGTACGTGTTGTTCGGGCACTGCTGCAAGCCTCTGCCGTGCCGGAGTTTTGCTTCGGCTCCTTCCTCTTGGTCGCGGAGTGCTCGGAGAAGATCGTGGTGTCGGAGGAACCAGCATAAGTGGCGCCACCAACGGCACCTGTTGCTGCTCCGCCGGCAAAGGGTGGCCTGCAGCGTCCAGTAAAGCAGGTAGGGCCGGCAGCTTGGGCTGAGCCGGCACGTCCAACGCTGGCTGTAGTTGCGCGTCCAGAGCGTCAAGAGCTGCCTGATCCTGCAAAGGCCCGGGCCGGTCCTCCGCACGAAAGGCGAGGGAGTGCTTTTCGCTCAAATCCTGGTCAGATTTTTTCAAGAGGTCCAAGTCGGACGGACTTGGTGCCCACCACTCCTCCTCGCCGGCCACATCTCGAACTTGCTCGCGACTGCAAGAGACCAAACGGCCACGGGAGTTGCGGATCCAAAGTTGACCTTGATCGACAGCAACGACAGTACCTTGACGATACCCTTCCACACTACCCTCGCCATCGAGGGCGTTCTTCTGGCGAAAGTAGGCCACACGCTGTCCTTCGTAGAACGGGCCTCGAAAGGGGCGAGGCTTGCGCAGCAGGGAGCTGCGAAGGGCGCTGTCGTACTCAAACTGATGAAACGCACACATAGCTGCAGCCCGGATAGCTTCAATACGTTGAAGACGTTGGGAGTCGCTGGCAAGTTGACAGGATTCCACATTGCCACCCGAAGAAAGAAGCGCACCGGGCAACTTATGGTTGCGGCCGAAAACCCATTGTGCCGGGCTGCTGCCAGAACGGTTCAACAGGTTATTCTTGGCAAAGGAAGCCATGGCCACAATAACGTTGAGCTCGGAGGCGCCGATGGGTGCGAACTGGCTCACCAAGCGCTGCACGATGTAGCGAATGGACTGGCCGTGCCGTTCCGTGCGGCCCAGTTGGTAATGCGCATCCGCAGGAACATAGCGCACCTGCGTGGCACACTGAGCCTGCAGGGTCTCGAACCTGTAGCCGCGAAAGCAACCATCTGCGTCGAGAACCATTGCATCCGGGGGCCCAAAGAAACTCATCCAGCCATTGATCAACACCCGCATGACTTCTTCCTCGGAGCGGTCGTGCAAGTAGTTGAGCACGTGGTAACAGGTGGCTTCGTCCACCTGAGACAGATAGCCGTGAACTTTGCCTCGTATGTCCTTCAGCCAGAGGACATCCAAGCCCAGACGATCGTTGAACCGTTGAGGGTTGAAGGGCTTGGCGGGACGTGGCTGTCGTGGTGGTTGAACTCGACGACAAACTTCACACCGAAGTCGACGGGCACATTGCACAGCTATTTCGGAAGCTCCAGCTGCTGATAGATGCCGCACTAGTGTGGCTGTTGAGGGGTGTCCCAAATTGGTATGCACACGTCTCAGCACTTGTAGGAGCCATTTGGGCGCCGAGGGAGCACCTGGAAAAGTTATATCACGATAACCAGGTTCATGAGGTCGCAGCAAAGACGTGTCTTCAGGTTGTTCGGCTGCTTCTTGAGTTCGCACGGCTGGCTCCGGTCGTGCGTTTTGCTCCTTGTTAAGACTCGTCTCGGGTGCTGTGCCAAAGAAGAAGATGGCCGCCCGAACAGGAGAGGCAAACTTGTTAGCGGATTGTGACAAAATTGTCGCCACCGCCTCAGCCTCGACCTTCACGGAGCCGTCTGACAACCACAGGGCGGCTCCTCGATGTTGCGCGCCGGCTTGTAGTACATCAAGTGGAAGGCGTCGTTGAACAGATGTCCTGCAGACTTGTATCCGCTGCAGTTGCCAAGGCACCAAAGCCTTGAGCTGCTCACCAAACGGTGTGTTCAGTGGAATCACTTTGTCCGGTCGAACCTTGCCTTGTAGCTGCTGATCAACTTCTTGGAGGAGAGGCAGCCAGGAGTCCTCGTGGCGATTCACGTCCAGGAAGAAGATGGAGAACTCGCCGACGTCGTGACACAGGTGGTTCACCGCAGTCTCGTGGTCGACGTAGTTCGCCTGTAGAAAACGCTCATCACCATCTGCTTCGAGGGACTCACATAGTCCACGAACCACCGCCTGGGCCAGCTCGGGGGTGTAAACTTGAGAAATTTTGCTGCTGCCTCCCATAACTTCACCGTGGGTACCACCGGCACAAAGGCAAGGTAGGGCCACCTGATCGAGGATGAGGGGGAGGTCAGACATCCACGCAGTTGGCTTTTTCACCAACTTGCCATGTTTATCCTTCAAGCCAAAACGACACATACATCCGACTCGAAGCTGCACATCAGGAAGTTCATAAAGTCGTAGTACATCAGGTTGCTTCCAGAAATCAGTGTGGGCGGGGTTCTCCAACAGGAAGTGTCCGCCGTAGTCACGTGCAGCTTTCATGATGGTCTCCACCATTTGTCGTATGGCCGTGGTTTGCGTCGCCTGCAAGGATTGAAGTTCATGAGGTTTGTAGTTCAGGCGCTGTATGCTTGACCAGGCCGTACAGGGGATTTCATACACCAGCAGGTACGGCCGGTGCTGCGTGATCACGTCCTGGAGCTTGGCAAAGTCCGTCTTGAGGTCCAAGGAGAGGCCGTAGACCTTGTCGACTGGTTGTAGAACACGGAGGCCTGCGCGAAGAGCTTGCGCAGTGATCTCGGCCTTGCCGCCATAGACCTCCAGGATGTCGCTGTAGTACCTCCGCATCTGACGGGCTCGTTGGGCCCGCGTCTCGTACACAGAGGTTTCGACTTGCCAAGCTGATCGAATGGCCCGCTCGTTGCCCAAGATTCTTTTCAAAGTTCCAGTCTTGGGTCGGAAGGCTCCTCTGTCCTCAGGGAACAGTGGATCATCAGGGGAACCTTGTAGTAGACGCCGGAGAGGTTCTCGTGCTGGTTCATGATCGTCACGTAGAACTCTCAAAGCTCCTCCCCGTAGTCCTCCTCGTAGCCCTCGGGAGGAATCAAGTCGTTCGGATCGAACTGGCTTCCCTCCGATCCTTCCATGTGGTCGTGCGGCTCCAGGTCGAACATGTTGGGCTCCACCCAGTTCGACATGTCCTCGTGGTCCACTGCAGCGTTCCAGTCCTGGTCGTAGGTGCCCGTGCAGCATATGCCCGCGAGGATGTTGAGGAGGGACGCCAGGAGGCGGGGTACGCTGCAGCGCCCGCCTGGTCGTTGGAACCGCGAGCCTCGCCGGCGTCGTCCTTCTTCTTGCGCAGCTCCTTCGTCACCTTGTCGGGCAGGTTCAACGGGGTTTTGGCCTGAGGAGCTGCCTTTGGGGTAGCCTGAACCATGCCCTTCGGTGTCACCACCCAGCGGGAGCCGCATAAGTCGCAGATCTTGATCTTGACCCCGCCGGCTCCGTAGCCTCGAAGACCCGACGGGTGGCTGCAATTCTCCGGCTTCTTCATGTACTCCTGAGAGGTCAGGCCTGACTGAGCCGTCAGAGCAGCTGTCGTCGTCAGCAGCGTCCTGGCCGTGCACGGAGTGCCAAAGGTGCTCAACACTCGGTCCTTCAGGGAGCCATGGAGAGCCGTCATGGAGTAGTGCAGAACCATCGTGTTCACGTAGTAGACGAAGTTCATGATGTTCTTCAGCAGTCTGCGCCACCGAAGAAGCCATGGTGGAGGAGGCATGTGGTGGCGGCTGAGCGGGGCTGCTAATCGTTTCCAACGCACTTGGGCTGTGAAAACCTGCCGGGTACACGATATCGGGGAGGTCTGCTGGTATCTGAGCAGGTGGCCACTGGAACTCACGGTCACCCCAATCATCAAGACGGATAGCCAAGTGCCCACACGGAGACAGCCACAGCTGCGTTGAACATTTCAGCGCCCTGAAATAAACCGAACCTTTGTGAACGTCTGGAACAGCACCAAGTATCTCGAAGGCCCTTCTGGACAAAAGTGCTGGGGCTTGGGCTTCAACTGCACTCAAAGATATGCCGAAGGGGATGCCTGCAATCGATGCGGGGTAGATGAACCGACCGAGGCTCGGGACTGCTTTGTTGGGGCCGAAGGAAAAACGACACTTGTCCGGGTACTCCAGCCGTTGCAGGGGTGATATCTCCGAAACCTTGAGGTTGTGCCAAGCTTGACCTGCTACCTGCCGTTGACATCCTGTATCTGCTATAGCGTACGCTGAGTTCTGACCTTCGTGGTACTGGAGGAGGATGCTAGGGCTTTGGTGAAGCTTGGGCTCAAAGTCCGACAACGGCGGCAAGCGGAACGACACCTTCTTTTCCTTCGGCTTGGTCTGGTGCGTCGTTGCCTCCTTGATGCCATCGGCACCCGAAGAGGAAACCATCCAGGTCGTGTTGACCAGTCCATCCGGGTCCAGCGTCAACCCCGGCAGGCTGGCTGATGCCAGCTGAGCATTCTGCACTGTAAAATTGGGACAGTCTCTCAGCCAGTGGTCTGCTGAGCCGCAACCCAGACACAAGCTGCCCTGAAGCCTCTGTTGTTGAACAGCAGAGTTGCGGTCGATCTTGCCCTTGCCCTTGGAGCCGTGACCCTTTGGGGAAGGGCCGCCGTGACCCTTGCCCGCACCGGAGCCTTTGCCTTTGGAGGCGTGGGCACCCTTCTTGCCCTTGCTCTTGCTTTTGCCCTTGCCCTTCGAGGAGTCGCTGCGATAGTAGCCGCGAGCCTGGACCAAACCTGCCAGCTTGCGCGAAGTCACCGTCAGAGCTTGCGCCGCTGCCAGCAAAACATCGTCCTGTGGTTCATCGGCCCAGTCGCCGGGAGCCTCCGTTTCCTCGACGTTGGGGTCGTCGTTGTCATAGTAGTCGTACTGCTCTTCTTCAGGGAGGTCCACGATGGCCTCCGGATCATCACCAACGTCTTCTTCATCTCCCTCTGCCATAGACGGCAGAGTTTCCAGAACCTCCTCAGGGCCGCCCTCGTTGGGCCAGTCGTGCTCCTCATGATCCCAGGCAGTGTTCCATTGCCTCCATCTGCGCGAACCAGAACTTCTCGAGGTAGCCGTGGATCGAGTGGAAGCGCTCGACAAACTCGCCCTCGAGGAAGAAGCGGTCGTTCTGGTACGGGGAGGCCGAGGATCGTGCCGGGGACGGGGAAGTCCTGTGATGCTTAGCCCCGCAGGATACTGTATCCTCAGGGCTTCCAGCACCTTAGACATGTTGTACTGATTGCCAGCGGCCAAAAGCACTGCCGAAATGGAGCGCTCGTCGAGTCGCAGGCCGTCCAGTAGCTTCACCACACGGGCCTGCTCGGGGTACGCAGGGACGTGGTTGTCCTTCAATTTGCGCTCCAAAAGCCTGAAGCGCCTGATGAAGGCTGCCACGCTCTCGCCTTGAAGTCTTCCTATCTGCTCGAACTCCCTGATCGTGCCGCCCTGCCTGAAGAGTTCGCGCTCGCCGAAGGACTCCTCAAGATCCTTGAGTAAGATCTCCACTCCATTCTTGCGGTCGTACTTGGAATCATCCACTTCCTCCAGCTCGAGCTCAGCCTCGCCACGAAGTTGTTCCAGAGCTCGAAGCGCCTGTTCGTTAGGCGGCAGGTACTCCTTGGTGATCAGGATCCATCGCTTGAGCTTCCTGCGGTAGTGCCGCAGGCAGTAGGGATCCTTCTCGATGTCGCCGTCGAAGGAGGGAGCAGTAGGAATGGCGCCAGAGCGCCAACGCTTCTCCTGGTTGTCCTTGCCTCCACCACCCGGAGTAGAGGCGGCTCCACCACGGGAGCCTCTCTTTCGTCGCGGAGCGGACGACACTTCCAAAGTCTGCACGGTGTCATTCGATGCCGCGCCAGAGCCTTCTCCCGTAAGCGAGAGCGTCTCGACGTCGCTGACATCAGCGCCTTCTGCGCCTCCTTGTCCATCCAACAGGTCATCGTCGAAGAACATGAAGTCGCGAGTAGCCTGGGCTGTGCACCTTCCCAAGCGTCGCTACCAATGCGATCGTAGCACTCTGGAGCCTGGAAATCCCTGGGCCTTTCAAAGGTAAAGCACAACCCGTTCCATGGCTTTTGACTCACACACGCGTGATCCCTCCACTCGAGAGGTAAGTTACGGCGTTCACGTTCATGAACATGGCCCTGCGAGCTTTACACGGAGCGTGATTTCAGCAAGGGGTACCCGGGAGACTCCACAAACCTCCCACTACGGAATGATTGGAACCCGAATATTACTTAAGATATGTCTGGGCCCGAAAGGACCTACCTTTTCAGGGCTCGATATTCTGATTTCCTTATATAAGTCCTTAAAGAAGGGTCGGTTCTTTGGGGTCTAGGTTTTCCTGAATTAAGGGGGTTTTGGGAGCCCCATGGGCTAGTAACGGGCTTCGGCCTCGATTCCCTAAGTAAACCCTAAACCCCTAAACCCAAGGTTTAGGGTGTAGGATTTAGGGTTTAAGGTTTAGGGTTTTGGGTTTAAGGTTTAAGGTTTAGGGCTTAGGGTTTCGTGGGTCAATAGGATAATCCGTATTCGCTTGCTTGCAAACCCGACTGTTCAGCGAATCGCGAGGTCTCTTATCAGTTCAACGAATCGCGAGTTCTCTTATGAAGTTGACAGGTACTTGGAGGATCATGGGATTTAGTAACTAGTGGCCCTTACAGGGTTCCTTTACTCATCACCCCAATTAAGCGGCTTATAACTTATAACCGTACTTACTAAATCCCATGATCCTCGAAGTAGAATATAGAGCTGCACGGGTGCAAGCCGCTAAAGGCCTGAGGGTTGGAGGGTCGTCCTTTGCACCCTGATGGACGGCCAAACGACACCCGTCTCGAAGCGATGATGCTGGGATGGAAACGAATCACAACAAGTCGAATTCGGCACAACTGGTCAAGCTGTGTGGAGTTCCACCGTAAAAACGCCTAAACCCCTAAACCCCTAAACCCAAAACCCCAAAACGGCCATCCCTAAATAGCAGGATCCTTCTTCAAAAGCTCCCCCCAGGCCTCAACCAACTTCGACCTGCGGAGGGCTCATGTAAGGGGTCTTCACCATACAACCTCCCAACATCAGAACAGACAAAATTCGCCAAACAAACCTAAGACGTGAACCCTATAACCATAAACCACAGAATTCCTCCCTAAGCCCTAAACCCTAAACCCTAAACCACAAACACCCATCCACAGCAACTCGACCGTTTCCTTTGGTGCCGCCTTTTTTCAGAGGGCTTCCTCAGGCGCTTCTAAACCGGCCCCTGGCCTGGTAGTGCGCCTTCCTGCACGGAGGAGGGTTTTAGGGTTTAGGGCTTAGGGTTTTGGTGTAGGGCTTAGGTTTTAGGGTCTAGGGGTTTAGGCCTTACCTGTGACCCCAAACCCGTCAAAATAGTCGGTTACGACCCCTTGCAGTCAAAGGGTAGATGAATGGTAAACCTTAGAACCCCGAAACCCTAAAACCCTAAGCCCCTAAACCCTAAATCTTAGAACCCCTAAAACGGTAGGTTTTTGGATGCCCAGGTAGGATTTCGGGATGAGGGATTCGTGCCTGGGTTTTGAGGAGTGTAGCTTGAAAGGGCCCAGGGCTTTCTATAGTTATATAGGGTTTAGGGTTTAAGGTTTAGGGTTTAGGGTTTTAAAGTTTAGGGTTTAGGCTTTAGGGTTTTTCTATAGGGTTTAGGGTTGGTGGTTTAGGCACTTACAGGTTTTTTGTTGAGTCGGCTTAGGGTTAAGGATCCAGGGTTTAGGGAGGTGCAGGGCTTGACGTTGAGGCTTGAAGGTTAAAGGACCAAGTCATCTTGTACATGGGTAGCTCTCTAAATTAGGGTCCCCTTTAGGCTCTCTTTTATAAGGTGCACTACGATAATTTGGACCTGAAAAGGCAAAGGGGCCCTGGCTTAGAGAACTATCCACATAGAAAAAACAACACACAAACACACATAGGGGAAATAACAACGGCCCTGGCCAGCAAGGCGAAGACTAAGCTTCAGGCTGTTCAGCTTGTTGCTGCTGCTCGGACACCAACAAAGGTGACAAACAAAACAATCGCAAACTCGGAAGAGGAAGCCAAATCATTTCAAAAACCCGGAAAGCCGGCCTCAGCGACTGCCTACAAGCAGTGGTAGATCTCATTAGGCTCCCTGGTTGGGTGCCCAACATAGTACGGCACCCTTATAAAAGAGACCCCAAAGCGGACCATTACGCATATGGGTGCCTCTTCATTTGGCTTATCGTCCGGGGATCTAGCATGCCGGGCCTAAACGGCTAACCTACATAACTACCATCCCAAACCCAACTGCCTAATTATGACCTGTAACTTTCTTTACCTGCAGTTTAGCAGCCACTACCCTTGAATTAATAGGTAGAACCCAGAAAACCGCAGGTAATTAGAGTCCCAGGGAAGTCCTTTGGACCCGGAGGGTTGCATAGACCCACACCACAAGGCTCTGGAGTTGAAGGGTTTAGGGTTTTGGGGTCTAGGTCTTAAGGTTAAGGTTGAGGAATCCTTCGAACAAGCCTGCTGCATCTCAGCATCCTCGGTGAAAGACCCAGGCACAGGCGGTGCCTCAGGAGTAGTATCGCATGCCCCTTTATCTATTTCAGACGTGTGTGTGTGTGCGTGTGTGTGTGTGTGTTGTGTGTGCATGAATGTATCTGCCTACATACATGCATACATACAAACATACATACAGACATACATACATACATACATACATACATACATAGATACACAAATACATACATACATACATACATACATACATACATACATACACAAATGCATACACACATACATACATCCATGCATGCATGCATGCATACATACATATATGTATATATGTATATATGTACATATGTATGTATATATATATATGTAAAAATGTAAAAATGTAAATATGTATATATGTGTGTATATGTATATATGTATATATGTATACATGTATTTATGTATTTATGTATATATGTATATGTATGTATACGTATGTATATGTATGTCTATGTATGTATATGTATGTATATGTGTATATATGTACATATTTATATATGCATATGTATGTGCGTGCATATATATATATGTACACATGTATATGTATGTATATAGTTGTATATGTATATATGTATATAAGTATATGTATATATATATATACATGTGCATATATGTATATATGTATATGTATGTATGTATGTATGTATGTACGTACGTACGTACGTACGTACGTATGTATGTATGTATGTAGGTGTGTAGGTGTGTAGGTGTGTATGTATTTATGTATGTATGTATGTATATGTATATGTATATGTATATGTATATGTATATGTATATGTTTATGTATATGTATATGTACATGTATGTATATATGCATATATGTATGTTTGTACTCAAGTCACGGCCAGAAAGGTGATTTAGGGTTTAGGATTTAGGGTTTGTAGGCCCTGAACCTCAAACTTTCAGCTGCGCCCTAAACCCTAAAGCCTTCCCACAGCCTCAACTCTGCCGTAGAATGAAGCCCGGAACGAAGTTGTGTTTAGACTGTGCGGGTCTTCCATGGTCTTCTCCAACCTTCCAAAACCCTAGCAGCTGTTAGAATCGTTCGATCAGAAGCACCTGTAGCACATGAGCTAGACTGTCAGCCTCAAGTCCAAGTCCTCAACAATCGAAACGGCTCCTAAACCCTAAGCCCTGAACCCGAAACCCCAAACTTTCTTATGCCTAACATGGAGTGGGGCCCGCCAAATGGATCCAAGGGGATCCTCGGACCTTGCCTGAGAGCTACACTGCATAGGCTAAACCTGAAACCTTACCGAACAATAACTGAGCCCTGCCTACAGTCTCCGTTGCAGCTCCTTCTTCGGTTACCTTATAGGCCTTAATATAGGATCCTCAGTACAGAAACGGTTTAACACAAAAAGGGAATTACAATGCAGACTATAGGTATGTCAGAAGTGCTAGGCCCCTTAACCCTGAACAAAACTGAAGCCTGAAGGTCATACAAGCACTGAAGCCTGAAAGTCATAAACCCTAACAACACAACCCCAAACCCTAAACCCTAAACCCTAAGCCCTAAACCCATAAGCACTGGAGCCTGAAAGTCATAAACCCTAACAGCTCCCATGCTGTCAAGAAGCCTCCACGGATATGAGGCTGCGAGTGTTCACAGTACGCGCGTCGTTCGCGGAGGCTTCTGGCAACGAAGGAGTTTGATGGCTTCGGTTTAATGATGGTCTAGGGTTTAGGGTTGCGGCTTGGGGCGTAGGTTTTTTGAACCTAAAACTCAAAAGGCATGATTGGAGGGTGCTTATGGGGATTCGGAGAAAAATCAGCAAACACCATACAAGCCGTACTTCGGTGCCTGACAGGCGACGCTCAAGTGTCAGTAGATGCATTCCACATGAATCACATGAAGAAAGACTCTCCATGACCCGTATTTGCAATGCTAGATTTCAATGTGTGTCCTGGTCATGCCAGTTTCAACATTGTGATAAGTAGATGTAAGACGTGCAGACAGGCACCTGAATCAACATCCATGAGGTTAAAGACGAAGCTGTCTTTGCCTGATGATTGAAAGTAGAAATGCTGCGGACTGTAGTTCCTTTAAGTTCCTTTCATGTCTCGATCGGGTCTTCATTTGGCGGCATGAAGAGCCGGCTATTGGGACGATGGCCCGCAGCGCCCATGTCACAGCCTCGGCCACCAAGTCGGCCGGAGCCTTGTTCAAGTCTGCGTCAGGTTTGGGCTTGGCAACAGCCTTGGCCACCAGCTTGGCCGGAGTGTTGTGTTGCTGCCCACCACCTCGCCGGCCGCCGGCCAGTTCTGCCGGGTAGTGCGATGTCAGCAAATGACGGTTTGAGCTGTGCGAGTGAAGACAAGTTGAGATGCCAGTGAGAATTTGTAGAACATCTTGGGAAAGCAAGCTTAGCTTGGGTGCCGGGTAACGCAGTGGGTTGGTGCTACTGGTGCCCCATATCGCGCAG